GGAGGCCCACCTGCGACGACAGGGGCTCTCGCTCGACACGCCCTCGCAGTTTGCTCCTACAGGCACTGGCCAGAAAGGCCCCCGAACCGGAGGCCCGAGCACGCTGCTCACTGAGGCCCTCGGACACAACCGACAGAGGCTCCAAGCGCGCCTACAGGGGCTCCAGCACGCTGCCCACTGAAACCCCCGTGCGCAGCCCACAGAGGCTCCAAGCGCGCCCACACAGGCTCCAGCACGCTGCCCACTGACGCCCTCGGACACGGACCCGCAGAGGCCCCAACCGCGCCCACGGAGGCCCCAGCCCACAGAGGCCCTAAACGCGCCCACAGAGGCCCTGGCGCGCTGCCTATTGAAGCCCCCGACACATCCCACAGAGGCCGTAGCACGCTGCCCGCAGGCCCTCGGGCACAGCCCACAGAGGCCTCAAGCGCGCCCACGGAGGCTCCAGCACGCTGCCCATGGAGGCCCCCGACGAAGCCCGCAGAGCCCCCAAGCGCGCCCACGGAGGCCCCAGCGCGCTGCCCACTGAGGCCCCCGAACACAGCCCACAGAGGCCCCAAGCGCGCCCACAGAAACCCCAGCCCACAGAGGGGCCAAGCGCGCCCACGGAGGCCCCCGCGCGCTGCCCACTGAGGCCCCCCAACACTACCCACTGAGGCCCCAAGCGCGCCCACAGAGGCCCCAGCCCACAGAGGCTCCAAGCGCGCCCACAGAGGTCCCAGCGCGCTGCCCACTGAGACTCTCGACACAGCCCAGAGGCCCCAGCCCACAGAGGCCCCAAGCGCGCTGTCGCTCGAGACGTCCTCGCGATGCATACAGGACGCACGCTTCAGCAACCCGCCTGTTCGACCTGGCCGCCCAAGCCCGCCTTCCCGACCCGCCTGTTAGGGTCTACTCACCCGATCAGCCCGTTTGGTTCTGCCACGATTTTCATGCTCCTAGCCCCCCTTCTGCTACTCTCTCTCTTTCTCTCTCGTGCTCCATCCTCCTCCCTCCCCTGGTCCCTTCCTTCCATCCGTTCTCGCTTCTCCTGCCTTGGGGGCTGCACGAAATACACGTTGCAGGAAGGAGAGATCTACCCCCAAAGGGGTTCGACCGAAGACAGAGAAAACGGGTATCGAGGGTTTGGGAGATACGTGTTGAGTGGCCCGCGAGCAGATGATAGCGAACAATATTAACATGAGTGCTGTTGTTGTTGTTGTTGTTGTTGTTGTTGTTGTTGTTGTTGTTGTTGTTGTTGTCTCCTCTGTTGTGCGTGCCCAGGCCTACGTACACCGGGTGTGCCTCCTCTCCCGGCGCGGCTCGGCGCGCTCGGAGGGGGAAGGGGGGCAAGGATAGTCCTGCTCCTCCTCCACCGAAGGCCATTAGATAGAAAAAGCGCCAAGATCAGTCGAGGTAGGAAGTACGATGATCGTGGCACAGATTTTTCCACCGCTAACGCCCCACCTGCACCGAAAATCCACTGTCCACGGGCATCGCGTGCTCACGGAGGAGGAGCGAGGGGAAAGAGGAGGAGGGGAAAGAGGAGAAGGAGCCACAACGATGTGCGGAGATCCCCTTCGTCCCAAACGGCCACTCAGAGAACGCAAAACGCGCACCGGCATCCCTCAGGGGAATCAACCAGAGGGGGCTCGAGGATCGAGGGACGTCTTTTGGGACGCTTTGTGCTGCCAGCTTCGTGGCAAGAACCCCCCCTGCCTCCTCAGAAGGTCCCATCCACCCAGACAGAATGTGCTGCAGACCTGTCGCCCTGGGTCCACCCTGGGCTTGGGTCGGGCATGTCCTCCTACAGGTGGACTTGGGAAGAAGAATGCAACAATGCTCAGACAATGATCAGAAATCATCAGAAGAGCGCGACAAATCGTCACCATACTATTCCCCAATCAGTGCCTGCACTGAAGGGGTCCTAGCGGAGGTTGAAAACTTTGGCGAAACTTTCCCGCCGATTTTGGTGGCAAGCTGGGTTCCCGGGTTCCTGGCTCCGGGTTCCCGGGTTCCCGCTTATTGGTTCTGGGCCGATTTCGGTGGGTTCTGGGTCCCCGGGCTCCCGGGTTCCCGGTCGATCTCCTCAGCGAAAGCCATCCACTGATTGGGGTTTTCCACTGGTTGGTCGTCACCATACGATTTTCGCACTATTCCTGAGCGCCCCTCCTGTGTATGGGGTACAGGGGCACGCCCGACTTTCACCCCCGGGCAGCTCTCCCGAGCCGCTCCCGGCCGTGGCCACGGGGCGGCGCCCCTTGCACGCCACGCGGGGGCCGAAGGCGTCCGCACGCGACCCCTCGCCCCCCCCCCCCCCCGAACTTTTCTTTGCAGGCAGCCGGTGATCAACGTCCCAATGTATGTATGTATATTTGCATGCATGTACGTATGTATGCATTTGTGTATGTATGTATGCGTAAATGTATATATGTATGTATGCATGCATGTCTGTATGTCTGTCTGTCTGTCTGTCTGTCTGTCTGTCTGTCTGTATGTATGTATGTATGTATGTATGTATGTATGTATGTATGTATGCTTGTATGTAGGTATGTATGTATGTATCTACGTGTATATATATGCATATATATATATATGTATGTATGATGTATGTATGTCTGTCGATACAATGTCGAAGTCCTCGCACGAGCGCACGCTCTGCGGCACGATGCCCGCCGCGCCTGCCGGAATGCGACACGCCGAGACAGCCTGGCGGGGCTGCAGATTTCTACGCCCACACCGCGGCCCGACGACCCGAGTACGTACGCCCCCCCCCCCCCCGAACTGGTGGGTTACGGCAGGTTCGTGTCGCGTCGACCCCGGCGATGGTTCCTGACACCGCGGGGATCCTTCCAACTTGCAGGATGGGCCGAGGATGAAGGGGCCCTGGGACACACAAAGAAATAGACACCAATATAACAGGATTCCCAATATTTTCCTTATATTTTCTTGGTTTTTGTCTTCCCCCCCACTTCCCATATTCTCCCATATTTTGTTGGGGATCGACGATTCATTGTGTCTGTGTGTTTCTTCCCCTCCCGAGAGGAGCCTGCAGCCCAGTTTGTGCCGCCGGCTCTCCCAGTCCGCGAGGCCAACCCCCCCCCCCCCGCTTGCTGGGAACGGTCGCGCCACGCGTGCCTTCCGAAGCCAGCAGCGCTTCTTCGTGCACGGCAGGTTCGCGCCGTGCCGGCTTCGGCGTTGGTTCCTGACGCCGAGGGGATCTCGGCAACGCGCAAAAGGGGGTAGGGGGAGGGGCAAGGCTTCTTAGAGAAGCACCCCTGCTTCTCAGAAGGCGCGGGCCTTCTCTGTAGACGTAAGGCCGAGGCCTTCTAAGAAGCAGGGTGCTTCTGAGAAGCCTTCCCCCCTCCCCCTACCCCCTTCTGCGCGCCGCCAAGGATCCTTCGAACTTGAACGATGGGCCGTTCCCGAAACGTCATATCCTTCGACGTCGACCGACTCTGGGTCGCTGGCGGCGTTCCACCTTGAGCGCCGGCAGCGGGGTCGACACCGGTCGACCCGCCACGAACCTGCCGTAGCGCATCATGGCCCGATGCGTTTACGCGGACAAAAGAATCGGCGGTGGACAAACCTCCCTGTAGTAAACCACCCTTCAGTGAAAACGGCCTGGGACCGAAACCGACGGGCCTGGACCCGCAAAAATGACGGCCGCGACGCCCTCTCGCGAACCGAAAACGGCCAATTCGCTAATCGACGTGTCAGGGCAGGAGGTCTATCAACCTCCGAGAAGAAGCGGGGGCCGTGAAATCTGGGGGACTTCCCGGCCTTGGCTATGATGTCCGCCCCCTAGTCCTTGAGCCCCCTTCGTCGACGCCCCCGGTGCCCTTGCGGCGATCCGGTGCAGTGCGGAGCACGATTTCCTCCGGCCAGGGTCGCCGAGGCATTCCCAATATACGTCGGCGATGCAGTGCGATCCACTGATCCTGTCGTCTTGGGCCCCACCAGGGAGGCCAACTTCCCTCGTTCCTCGAGCCCCCCTCGCGCCCTTCCCCACTCGGGCTCGGGAAACAGTGAAGCTTACCGCCCGCCCTTCCTCGACCGGTGGTCGGCCAGGCCACCCTGAAGGTCAGGCAGCCAGTATAGGAGGTGATGAGGAGGAGGGAGCAACAGAGCAGGAGACGAGGAAGAGGAAGAGGAGGAAGACAAGGCGGTGGAGGAGTAGGAGGAAGACGTCGGCTTCATCCTCCTCCTCCTTCTCGTCTTCCTCCTCCTCGTCTTGAAGACGACGAGAAGTAGGGAGGGAAGAGGGATGAAGATGAGGATACTGATGACGATGATGATGATGATGATGATGATGATGATGATGATGATGATGATGATGATGATGATGATGATGCTGATGCTGATGCTGATGATGATGATGATGATGCTGATTCTGATGATGATGATGATGATGAGGATGATGAAGATGATGATGATGCTGAGGAGGAGGAGGAGGATGAGGATGATGATGATGATGATGATGATGATGCTGATGATGATGATGATGGTGGTGGTGATGATGCTGATGATAATGATGATGATGCGTTTGATGGTGGCGACGACGACGCTGACGCTGCTGTTGATGTTGATGATGATGATGATGTTGAAGAGGAAGATGAGGAGGAATATGAGGAACATAATGAAAACAAGGAAAAGGCTTGAGGATGAGGAGGAGGATGAGAAGGTGAAGGAAGAGGAGGAGGAGGAGGAGGAGGAGGAGGAGGAGGAGGAGGAGGAGGAGGAGGAGGAGGAGGAGGAGGAGGAGGAGGAGGAGGAGGGATGGCTGCGTCGGATGACATTATCACCATCTGTGGGTCAGTGGGTCAAGAGGATGGAGGAGGATGGAGAAGGATGGAGGAGGATAGCGGAGGGTGGAGGATGGAGGAACGAGGACGGCTGAGGCTGGAGGACCCAGGAAGGAGGCTGGAGGAGGAGGAAGGCTGGAGGAGGGGGAGGAGGCGGGAGGAGGATGGAGGATGGAGGATGGATGGAGGAGCACCCCTGGCGCCCGTCGGGGACGCCTATGTCCACCAGGCGCAGGCCGGCGAGGGGGCCGCCGCCGCCGCCGCCGCGGCCCGGGGCGCAGGCCTGCCGGCCCCCCCCTCCCGTCCTCCTCGCTCTGCCGGGGAGCCTCGGAGGGTCGGCGGCGAGCGTGGGGGGGGGAAGCGACGGCGGCGCGCACGAGGAGGAGGAGGGGGAGGAGGGGAGGGGGAGGAGGGGGGGAGGAGGAGGAGGAGGAGGAGGAGGAGGAGGAGGAGGAGGAGGGAGGAGGAGGAGGAGGAGGAGGAGGAGGAGGAGGAGGAGGAGGAGGAGGAGGAGGAGAGGAGGAGGAGGAGGGAGGAGGAGGAGGAGGAGGAGGAGGAGGAGGAGGACGAGGAGGAGGACGAGGAAGAGGAGAGGGGAAGGAGGGTGAACAGCGGCAGCACAGGCAGGAGCAGCAGGAGCAGCAGAGGGCGGCCTCGTCCGCCTGCTCTCTGCCGCCCCCCCCACTGCGCAGGTCGCCCCCCGCTCCAAGGCGTGCGCCCCGGAGGCGCCCCGGGCTCGGGCGAACCGTCGCCCACGCCCCGCGGGGCGCCCGCGCGCTCGGGCGAGCCGTCGCCCTTCGGTCACGCCTCACGGCTTGCAGAGAAAAAACTCCTCCTCAACTCCTCAACTCCTCCTCTTCCTCCTCCTCCTCCTTTCCTCCTCAACTCCTCCTCCTCAACTCCTCCTCCTCTTCCTCCTCCTCCTCCTCCCTCCTCCCCTCCTCCTCCTCTCCTTCCTCGCCCCGGGGCGATAACTGGGGGGAGGGGGGGGGGGGGGGGGGCGAAAGGTGACCTTGTCGGGCTTCAAATGCCTCCCCTTTGTGCCCGAAAGGGCCCCCGTGGGGGCCATTAGGGGGGGGCCGGGGGGGCCCCTTTTCGGCAGCCCTCGCTGCCCCCCCAGCCGATCCTCGGCCTCCCCGAGGCTCTCGCCGGCGACGGTAGGGGCGAACAGCACAGGGGCGGGCATCACACGCATTCGCCCAGGAGCCTCTTCGAAGACATCGATCAGCGGCGCACCTGAATACATGTAGTGCTCTCCCCTGTTACCAGCCTCGAACGTATCCCCATCCCTAAGATTGACACGCCGAAAGGCGACGACAATCTTAGGGATTCGCCCTCAAAAGATAAGGGAACCCCTAAGATTAGCATCGTGATGAGGAGGTGCCCAGCATGGGGATAGGGATATGTTCCAGGCTGGTAACCCTGGGCCATTCGCCCCTCCTGTCGCCTCCGAGGCTCTGGCGCGGCAGCCTTTCTCTTAGGCCCGGCACTTTTTCCGCCCAACCTTCGGGCACCCTGGCGGGACCCCTGCGGATCGACCCGACTCCGGACATGTCACTGCGCCGACCTTGCAGACGTGCTGCAGCGGATTTCTGCGTGGATTCCTGCCAGTGCAAAGCCCCTCAACGGCGAGTGAAACACGGCGTGAATTTCAGGTGGATTGTTGTTACGTCTTCATTCCTGGCCAGACAGATTCCGCACGAAATTCCCCTCGAAATCTGGAACGAACTTCTCCAGGACACTCCGGGCCCATCCTATCGTTTTCCGAATGGAATGCGCTCTGCGATACTGGCGCCAGAAGAAATGCCGCGTACAGTCGGACACGGTTGTGCTCGACTCCAGATCTGCTCGCCGCTCGTGAGATACGGTCGGTTCGAGCGGCGCTGGCGCGCGCAAACATTCCCACAGATCCGACGTCGTGATTTTTTCAACACGCGGTCCCCCAAAGTCTCGACCCATTCCCCAGGACCGGTTTCTCGTCCTGAGTCGTTTTCTGACGGTCCTGGGGCCCGGCGAGGGCCCCTAGAGGCCGAAAATCGAGAAAAACCTCCGTCTTGATTTTTGTCAATGCGTTGGAGGTCTGGGTTTTCAACCTTGAATCGATATTGCGGCCCCGATGGTTCAGGGTGAACTTCCGTCGGAGCCAGTGGCGTTGCAGCCGGAGCCGTGCCAGAAGAGCATCCCTCGAGAACGTGAGGCCCTCCGTCGGCCAACACAAACAGAGCACTCAAAAGGGCACCCTCCCCAGGACTCGGGTCGGGCGAAAGGGGGGGATAGCAAAGGGGGGGTTTGAGAATCAGCTCAGGTAGCTGATTTTCCTGGCGCCTCCCGGCGCTGGAGGCGGCTATGTATCGAGGAATGGGCCCCTCGGTGAGGCCGAAACCAGCTGCATGCAGCAAATTTCGTAACCCCCCCTTTCCCAATCCCCCCCTTTCGCCTGGCCCGAAGGACGCGCAAAAACATCCCACAAGCACGAAGAACACTACAGGGCACCCTCCCCGACCCGACCTCGACCCTGCACCTCGGTCCGACTGTGAAGGTGGGGTCGAAGGCACCGGCCGTGATTTTCCGAGATGCTTGGGCGCCCGAGTTATCCGGGGTAACTCGGGTCCGGGGTAACTCGGGTTCGGGTTCCCGAAAAAGCGAACCCGAGTTATCCCTGACCCGAGTTACCCCTGATGATTCGGGGCTCTGGGCGCCCGAGTTATCCGGGGTAACTCGGGTCCGGGATAACTCGGGTTCGGAATCCCGAAAAACGAACCCGAGTTAGCCCTGACCCGAGTTACCCCTGATGATTCGGGGCTCTGGGCGCCCGAGTTATCCGGGGTAACTCGGGTCCGGGATAACTCGGGTTCGGAATCCCGAAAAACGAACCCGAGTTAGCCCTGACCCGAGTTACCCCTGATGATTCGGGGCTCTGAGATGCTGCATTGCGCCCGACGTCGGACCCCAGGGGTGGACGGAGGAGTCGAGGCGGATGGATGAGCCAAGGAAGGCCAGGATCGAGCCTTCGGGATGCCTCTGGCTCGCCTCCGACATGTTTCTGGCTCCGAAGTGCCCGGGGTCCTCTCTTGGGAGCGTGCGGCAGCACTCGCGCAGGCGGCAGTTCGCAAACAGCCACAGGACAGGCTGGAATCTCGGAGTGCCGCAGCCACGCAGACAGCTGGGCGCTCGGCGAGCGAGGCCAGGCTTCCAGACGCGTCCAGGGACCTCACTGAGAAGGCTGGAGGTTCAAAATGCCGAGGCGGCACAAACAGAAGAGGGGAGGGGTGCTCTGCGAGCGAGGCCGGCATCACTTGAGCGGGGGCTCTGACAGGCCAGGACGTCGGCACGCTCGAGAAAACTGCAGCATTGAGTCAGGGCCATGATCTCCGACTGATGCTGATGATCATGCTGCTGCTGCTGCTGCTGCTGCTGCTGCTGCTGATGATGATGATGATGATGATGATGATGATGATGATGATGATGATGATGATGAACATGAGGATGATGATGAACATGAGGATGAACATGAGGATGAATATGATGATGATGATGATGCTGATGCTGATGCTGATGCTGATGAGGATGTCGGTTTGCAATGTCTTGATTTACATGGCCATGACCTCCGACTCTGATCTCTGGGCCCCCAGAAGGGCCCCGACGACCTCCTGGAGCCTCGGGCCTCTGAGGGCCTCCAGGAGAACCTTCGGCGAACCCCGTGGATCTCGGTGAGGAGGAGGGAGAGGAAGAGGAAGAGGAGGACGGACGATGGAGGAGGAAAGGGAAGAGGAAGAGGAGGAAGAGAAAAGAGGAGGAAGGAGAGATAATACCATCTGAGGAAGGAGGCAGGAGGTGGAAGGAGGAAAGAGGAAGAGGAAAGAGGTAAGGTGGACCATCGGCGAGGAAGAGGAAGAGGAGGATGGACAATGGAGGAGGACGCTCTGGGCGTTGTTTGTTGTACAACGGATGTGCATCTCTACCGTCGTGTCAGTCGACAGCGTGGACCTCAAAAGGATATAACAAACAGAGCCACGACATCCAACAAACAACGTTTCGCGGCGAACACTCACGAATACATAACAAACGATTTTGATCAAACTGAAAATGGTACGCACACGCACCCCTGCAAACTAGAACTGAAACGAGGTTGCGAACCTCGGAATTTGCACACGCAACATTGGCTTTTGGATTCGATTTGCAGCAGCAGCAGCCGGGACAGCGGAGAAGAGGGGAACAGAAAATGGAGGGCCAAGTAAACTATCGGCCACGCGGCCGGGACAGCGGAGAAGGGGAGAGGAAGATGAAAGGAAGTGGAGGGCTGCGCCGATATATAATAGGTGGACATGTTGGCCAATCTCCCGTCTGCGGGAGGGAAGTTGCAAGCGTTTTGAAAACGCACTGTAAACTTGTTGAGAACGGTCCCAAACGAGCAACGTCGATCGTTGGCCCAGTGGAGGTGGACATGCTGAAGATTTGCTCGCTGAACGCTGCGACGTGCAGCCCGTTCTTTCTGCAATCCCTCCTGGGGACTCCTGCTTATCTGCTAGTACTTGCGAGTGGACGACCATGCAAACACCGCGTTGCAAGACAGACCTGCAAATTACCACGAGTCTGGAAACTAAACAACGGATCCGCAAATTGATGTTGAAACCGCAAGCACCACGAATTGCGAGGGAGACCTGGACACGATACAAAAGCGGCAGTGGAAAACTATGGAAACAGCAAGTTGTGAGGCTAAAGCTGCAAACCATGGACAACAAACCGCCCAGAGCGGCTTCAACAACGGATGATGGAGGAGGAGGAGGGAACCCCATGCAACCTAGGAAAAGTAATGGAAGATGATGATGATGAGGAGTTATGGGGAAGGAGGAGGCCGAGGGAGGGAGGGAGGGAGGAGGAAGAAGGCTGGATGAGGAGGGAGGAGGAGGAGGAAGGGGAGGAGGAGGAGGAGGAGGGATCAGGATGAAGAAAGATACATGAGGGAGGAGGAGGGACCAATAATAATACTAGTAACAGTAATACCAACCATAATAATAATAATAATAATAATATTACAAATGAAAATTAATAATAACAATAAAAATAATACGAGTAAGGAGACGAAGAAGAAGGAGGAGAACGAGGATGAGTAGGGGGAGGAGGAAGGAGGGCAATTCATCGGAGGAGTGACGGAGGGATGCAGGGGGCAGGAGGAGGCAAGGCAAGTCAACATGGGGTCCGCTCTGCGGTCCCGCCAAGCTCCTACGAAGCCCGCGGGAACAGCGGTAGACGAGTGTGAGCCTCTTGGGGGCCTCCATCCATCTTGGGGCGGAAGGCTCGGATTTTCGGTTCGTGGTCCCCCTCTTGGGCCCCCCCTGCGGCGGTCATGGGGCCCTCTTGGGCTGTCTTGGGGCCCTCCTGGGCTGTCTTGGGACCCTCTTGGGGCCTCTTGGGGCCCTCTTGCAGCCTCTGGGGCCGTCTTGAGGCGGTCTTGGGTGCCTCTTGGGGCTCGGAAGGAGTACTCTTGGAGGCCTCGCCGCTCCGCCATGGCCAAAGCGGGAACGAACGAGCACGCCTCGGATCTCCGCCAAGCCGATGCAAGCCGTTGGAGCAGGAGGGGGGGTAGGAGGAGCAGCTCGAGGAACAATCAACAGCGTAAACATACACTTCCGGAACTCCGAGCGGATTTCTTGGATCGGCGCTGGACCCCCTTGCGGCGCATCCAGCGCCGCCCCTGCGCCGATCCGAGCAATCCACGCGGAGCTCCGACAGTTTTTTGCTGTTTTTTGTTATCTCTCTCTCTCTCTCTCTCTCTCTATATATATATATGTATATATCGATTCTTCTCCTCGAGTAGCACTGAAGCCCCTCAATTCTGGGCGACGAAAGCAACGGGGCGTACGCTCGATGGCGCAGCGACCTCGCTCAGCGGCTTACGAGGGCCGCCAGCGCGGAACGCCACACTGGGCACGCGGGCGCTTATGCACGACCTGACGCGGACAGCCTGCGCGCCCATGTCGGTGAAGACGACCCCCTCGGAAGATCACACAGTCGTCGCCAATGCGTCGCGAATGCGTCGCCGACGACAGTGACGCATCGGTGCCGTCGGCGTGGAGAACATCTGGCTGCATGTCGTTGCCATCGTACCCAAGGACCACATCCCAGAAATACTTTCGAGCACCCAGGCAGTGTCTGCCCGACGCGCTGGCGAAGCGTCGAACGACTGTCGACACCCCCCAGGGCCCCGGCACACGCGAGCACCCTCACGGCTCGGTGCTTTCTTGGCGCCCGCGATTCTTTTTTGGTGGTCAGGGCTGAAGCAGGGCCGATGATCATACATCGGCCTCCACTCGGGCGTTGGCAGAACTGGGTTTAGCGGAACCTGGTTTAGTGATGTGCACCGGGGGCGCCCCCCCGTCCCATTTCCACTCACCAGAACCGCCGTCCCCCGAAGAACACCAGCTGCGGCAAACCTGGTTAGGGGCCCCGGGGCCCTACCGCTAACCGGGTCCCCTTACCTGGGGTCCTGGCTATACTAGGGAGCCCACAGAGGACGTACGCGCCCAGCTATGTACATGAACACGGCCCCTTGACCCGCGAGACCGGCCGCGGGATACGAACATTCGCGCAATGCGAACTCTCGAAACCAGCGTGGATTCATGTACGTGTACGTCCTTCTTTCGCTCCTGATATACCCGATCCACATCGAGCCGCCTCCCCGATGCAGCGGCGATGCGGCGGCGCGATCCGTCGGACTCCCTGCGGGGAGGCCGGGGGGAGGCGCGAGGCGCTGGCGTCGGCCCGCGCGCCGGCGGCAGGACGGGCGCGCGCCCCCCCAGCCCTCTCAAGGGGCCCAGGGACACACACACACAGAGAGAGAAATACACACAAATCCCAGTATTCCCCACAGTTTCCCAGCTCTTCTGGGCTTTCGCCTTCCCCCCCCCACCTTCCCCTCTTTTTCCCGCATCTTCCTGGAAGTCGACGATTCGTTGTGTCTGTGTGTGTGTGTGTGTGCGTTTTGTTCCCTCCTGAAGCCCCGCCCCCACCGCCCAGGCCGGCAGAACCCTGTCGAAGAGCGTGTCCACCGCCTGCACCTTGGGGCGGCGCACAGAGGGGGGGCAGGGGGGAGGGGGGAAGGCTCCTGATGGGAGGCCTGGACATGGGCACCAACACAAACACAGGGCGTTGCCTCCACAGGGGGAAGATGATCCTGGATTTCGGTGTCGGTGGTTATATCTCGGTCGCCTTGGAAGTCAGAATCTTACCACCATCACCGAGATCGGGATCGTCTTCCCTCGGTGGAGGCACGCCGCCGATCTTGGTGTTGGTGTCAACCTCTGGGCCTGCGGCCTTAGAAATACCCCTGCTTCTCCGAAGGCGCGGGCCTCCTCCGTAGATGCACGGCCGGCGCCCTCTACGAGGCAGCCTCCGTGTCAGAAGCCTTCCCCCCTCCCCCCTACCCCCTTGCGCGAGCCGCCAAACCTTCATCGGCACGTACGGGGCGCCCAAGAACCGGCGCAGCTTGGGCAGCACGAATGGCAGCCTGCACCCGGGCTCTGGTCCTGACCTCTAGCGCCCGTAGAGAACCGAGGCGCAAGCTTTTCAACACCTTCGGCCTGCAAGGGCCCTGTAGTATATTCGGGCTCCGGGACCCTTCTAAAAATGATGCGGGGCGGGAGACAAGTCCACAGGAATGGGTCGAGAGGTTAGTGGGCCCCGTATTGAGAACAGGGCACGGGACCTCTGCAAAGGAGAGGCTCTGGACGCAACTCTACGGCACTCTAAGAGAAAAACGGGCTTCCGAAAATCGATGAATGTGATCTCTCGCCTTCGGCCGGAGCCGGCGCCAGGTCGACGGAAGCCAGCGAAAGCCACAGTAGACCGTCAGTACCCGCTGGCAGATCCCCCCCTTTCACTCGGCGGTGATAGGACTGGTCCTAAAACCTCTTCCTCCGTCTCCCCCCTCTCACCCTCCTCCCTCTCGTCCTTCTCCTCCTCCTGCTCCTCCTCTTCCTCCTCATCTTCCCCCCGCTCCTCCTCGTGTCATTCCTAAGGAAGAGGCGGAGGAGGAGGAGGAAGGAGGAGGAGGAGGAGGAGAAGGAGGATGTTCATTGAGAGCGCTCCTGAGGCATAAATAATAGTAGTAGTGTAGTTGTCGTCGTCGTCGTCGTCGTCGTCGTCGTCGTCGTCGTCGTCGTCGTCGTCGTCGTCGTCGTAGTCGCAATCGTAGTCGTAGCTGTCGTTGTCATTGTTGCGCCGCGGGTTCCGCGGGACAAAAAACAAAAATTAACCCAAATTGGTGGGATCCCAGTCCTTCAATACGGCCGCCGAACATAACTAGTTACCCCCATATTGGGTTTTGTTTCTAAAGGTTTCTCGCGGTCATGTTTGGTCTTGCCAGGAGGAGGCCAACGCTGGTTATGCCTGGGCATCTCGAAGTTAGCGATGTGTGCAAAACAGTTATGGGCAGCGTGCGAAGAGAGCAGAAACAACAGACAGGGACAGGATAAAACACATAACACGCGGGGGGGGTATACGTATCGATGAATACAGAGGGGACTGATCTACATGTGTACAATATTACTACATACATTTAACCTCAATATATACACATCCATAGATGCATACATAGACATATACACATATCGGATGTTGGGAGGTGAGTCCGCCGTGAAACGGAGACCTCCCCTACCGGGAAATCGATTTCGGTTTCGGGTTCGTGTCGTGAGTGCCGTGCGTGCGTGCGGGCGCGGCGAAGCTGCGTAGGCGGGCGAGAAGAAATCCTCCTGTGGCTGGGCCGCGGCCGGACCAAATGTCACTCCTCCGGCGGCCAATGCCCCGCGGTGTCCAGCCGGTGTCCCGAAATCCTCCTGTGGCTGGGCCGCGGCCGGACCAACTATTTCTCCTCCGGCGGCCGGTGCCCCGCGGTGTCCCGCCGGTGTCCCGCGGGTGTCTCGAAATCCTGCTGTGGCTGGGCCGCGGCCGGACCAAATGTTTCTCCTCCGGCGGCCGGTGCCACGCGGTGTCCCGCCGGTGTCCCGCTGGTGTCCCGCCGTGGCTGCGGCGAGCTATCCGATGCAAGTCCACATGCAAACCGAACAGCACATCGAAATGCAAATCGACATGCACATCCAAATGCAAATCGTAATGCGCCGTGGGTTGCGTATTAAAAAAGATTCGGCGCCTGCGGCGAGCTTCCCAATGCAAGTCGACATGCAAATCGAGATGCAGATCGAAAAGCAAATCCACATGCACATCGATATGTCGACATGCAAATCGATATTCGTCAACATCGCCACATCACATCACGCTCACGATCACAATCACACTACTCGCTAGACTGCGCACCACAGGCATCGTCAGAACAACAATCACCACTGTTGCCCATTGCTGGCCCCCCCCAGCCTCCTTATCACCCGCAGGGTGGTCGTATAGGTACAAATTTGTATATCTTCATCGGAAATCGGAAATTTGGGGGGTGGGTCGAACTGAGACGGAGACCACCCGCCGGGAAATCGGCTTCGGCTTCATGTCGTGCGTGTGGGGCGAAGCTGCGTGGGCGGGCAAGCGGAATGAACTCGCCGTCGCCAAGGCGAAACTGGGCCGAATGATGCTGCCCCCCCGGTTAGCTGGCGGTGGCTCGGGAGTGCTCCGCCAATTGGCTGGCAGTGTTTTGGGGATGTCCCGATTGTGTCCCGATGGTGTTTCGATGGTGTCCCGATTGTGTCCCAATGTTGTTTCCGATGGTGTCCCGATGGTGTCCCCATGGTGCCCTCATGGTGCCCCGATGGTGTCCCGATGGTGTCCTGATGGCGTCCCCATGTTGTCCCGATGGTGTCCCGATTGTGTGTCCGATGGTGTCCCGATGGTGTCCCGATGGTGTCACGCTGGTGTTCCGATGGGTGCCCACATGGTGCTTTAATGGGGGTCCACATGTTCCGATAGTCTCCCGATGGAGTCCCATGGTGTTCCATTTGTGTCCCGATGGTGTCCCGATGGTGCCCCGATGGTGCCCCGATGGTGTCCCGATGGCGTGCCGATGGTGTCCCGGAGGTGTCCCCATGGTGTCCCGATGGTGCCCCGATGGTGTCTCAATGGTACCCTTTGATTGCCTCCCCGGTGTCTTCAGGTGCAAGGGGAGGGTGGGGGGAGCGATGTACAGGGAGAGCGAAAAGCGAGGAAGGCAGAGGGTGGGCGGGGCAAGCCAGGTGCGCTCGCGCCGCATCTGACTTCTTACCTCTCCCACGCATCCCTTCCCATTGCGCTGACTTCTCTCGGTCCGCGGACGCGTTTCTTCATAGCCGACCTGGAACTCCGAAAAGGGGCCCATCCTGCTGCGCGTATTCGGAACAGGGGGGGCTGCGCACAGAGGAGGAGCATGCGGCGGACGAGCAGGAGGAGCACGAGGAGGACAAAGGGGGGGACGAGGACGAGCAGCCACAGCAGGACCTTGCGTGGAAGGCGCGGGAGGAGCACAGGGGGCGGGCGGAGGAGGGGGAAAGGGTGGGGCGACCACGACGAGGAACGACTCCCAGTCACAGCAGTGGCCCGCGCACGGACCCCCCGTCCTCCTCCTCCTCCTCCTCCTCCTCCTCCTCCTCCTCCTCCTCCTCCTCCTCCGTCACAGCAGTGGCCCGCGCACGGACCCCCCGTCCTCCTCCTCCTCCTCCTCCTCCCTTTCCTCCTCCTCCTCCGTCACAGCAGTGGCCCGCGCACGGACCCCCTGTGCGGGAGAGCGGCGGGGGCGGCGGCGGCAAACACGGAGGAGGAGGAGGCGGCGGCGGCGGAGGAGCACCTCGAAGGTCCGCACGCAGCCTCTCCCACGGACCGCGACCTCCCATTAGGGGGAGGGCCTCGCGGCTCCGGCAGACCCCATCCCTCCGGCGCGCGCGGTGCAATCTGCGTCGGGGGCGGGCCCGATGGCGTTGAGCGCCACGAGGAAGACGCTGGCACCCACCAGCGCCTGCGCGCCCGGCGGGCGCCGGCGCCACGAAGGCGAGGGGTCCCGAGAGAGGCGGGTCGGACCCCGCGACTCGCCCCAGGACCAACCCTTCATCCCGCGACTGTCTTTCGGCGGCGAGCGATGGGGGGGAAGTGAGAGGGAGGAGGCCCTCTCAGCAGGCGGTGGGGCTCTCAGAAGCCCTCGCGCCCTCTGGAAAGTGTCCCGTGTCTTCGGGACACTTCTCGGAAGGCCAAGGGACTTCGAGCCTTCTGAGAAGGCCCGCTCCTTCTCACTTCCCCCCCAGGCTCGCCCCCGAGAAAACGCAGAAAAGACTCGGGGCAGCTTCCCCTCAGGACCCAATTTCTTCTTTCATGTTGCGGGTGCACCCAAGTAGGATGCCTGGAAGAGGGGAATCAGCACACCGTGGCCTGAGGCGTGAGCGGACCAGGGTGAGCCAGTGGACGTATTTGAAGGGGCCCGGGGACACACAAATTAATAGACACAAATCCCAGAATCCGCCGAATTTCTCCACTGTTTGGGATGTTCGTCTTCCCCCCCACTCTCCATCTGTCCGCATATTTCCCTTGGGGAGCGACGATTAATTTTGCCTCTGTTTTTTTTTTTTTGTGTGTGTGTGTGTGTGTATTCCCCCCTCCTGGGTACCTATACGACCGCCCTGTGGGCGATAAGGAGGTTGGGGGGATTTGAGATCAAATGCCCACCCTGACTGACCTCCAGCCTGTCACCTTGATCTCATCTCTCTCTCTCTCTCTGTCTCTCGCTCTCTCTTTCTCTCTCTCTCTCTCTCTGAATGTGGATAAGATCAAATGGATTGGATTGGACAAGATGTATTGGATAAGATAAGCTGGTTTGGATAAGAAAGCCCGCCGCAGGCGCCGGCAAACATGAATTGATGGCTTGGGTTGAGTGGATTGGATCGGATGGGATAAGATGGATTGAATTTGATAAGATGGGTTGGATTGGAAGAAATGGATTGGAGAAGATAAGAAAGATTGGATTGGCCCGCCGCAGGCGCAGGAATAAATGAATTGATGGATTGGGTTGGGTGGATTGGATTGTGTGGGATATGATAAGATGGGACAATCTGGGTTGGATGAGATATGATTTATTGGATTGGACAAGATGGATTGGAAAAGATAAGCTGGATTGGATAAGAAAGCCCGCCGCAGGCGCCGAAACAGAAATGATCATGACATTAGATGCATGCGTTAGCGCCGGGACGCCCTGGGACACCCAGGACACCCGGGACACCGCCCGGCCCAACTGGGACATCTCCTGGCCACCGGCGGACGGGAAACGGACTTTCGCTCCTACTGACACCCGACCGCCCGGCCCATGGGACACCTCCCAGCCACCGGCGGACGGGAACGGACTTTCGCTCCTACTTCTGCCTAGCTACAGGAGGATCACGCGCAGCTTCGCCTCGCCCGCACGCGCGACACGAACACGAAACCGAAACCGATTTCCCGGTGAGGGGCCCTCCGTTTCACTGCGATCTCACCCCCAACCTCCGATTGAAGGGATACAGGGGGAAAAAAGGGTGCCGTGACATCTTGGAGACTTCACGTCCCCCGCCATGATATCCACGCCCCCCTGGTCCTCCCCCTCTCTCTCTTCGCCGCCCTCGACCATGGTGACGCCAGGAAAGATGAGATGAAGCCACGACTAGAATATAAACTCGGGTGAACATGAAATCAGGAATCTCTGGGGTCCGGCGGCTGAGGAAGATGTCTCAGGCGCCGCGGCTTTCCCAGCGTTCCGGAACGCT